CTCAGCAGCTCGGGAACACAGCAACCTTTATGTTTTCTTATAAGGGTGAAGAGGTGGGTGAAATAAGCCTTTAGGCTCCAACATCTACACTGCAGTGCCGCGGTCTGTAACACTGGAATGCGATGCATTTCATAGATAACCATGATAAGATGGCTATCATGAGCTAAACATGACAACATGAGTTAAAAAGGCATGTGGCTATTTGATAATCACTTCACCTGACAATGCTGAGAAATGACCCCGCCTCACCCAGGGTGGGTGGGTTCATATGCCCACATAGGTCCGCTGGCCTGTCTGGCAGTAAACACAGTGTCACTCACAGGCTCCCATCTGTGTCTGAATCAGAGCTGGAAATGCTCCAGTTCTCCCAGGGGTATCACTTCAGGCCCTTGCAGCTCCGGCTCTGTGCCCCTGGCCATGGGCCCCAGGGACATTGTTCCACCCTCTCCCTCAGGAAGCCAGGAGGGTTCCCCTGGACAGGGCTTGGTGCACAGGGCATTGTGAGGTGGTCCCTAAATTCTACATTATAGGCCAGCTTCTGTGAGGTGTGCTGCATGGCAAAGAAGCAATGTGTTTCTCTTATTGGAAGATTTAATTAAGTTAATGTCATTTAACCTTTTAGGAGACCTACCGTCAGTTGTACGTCTGTGGCAGGAGACAGTTCCTGTGGCTGAAGGCCAAGTCCTGTTCTCAATGACTCATTAAAATAAATGTTTGAGCCAACACTTAGCTGCCCTAGTTGGCTGTAAATCCAGCCATTGTAGCATTTCATTTGACAGCAAAATGGATTAAATTTCATCCCTTCTCCAGAATGGGCTATAAGCTCTCCATTCCTGAGTTACCACATCTCTGAGAGTGGCATTCAGAAATAAATCAAACTACAGAACCTTATTCTACAGCATAAAATGAATCAAGCCCAAGGACCAGTACGTCCTCATCAATGCAGCCCACATAAAACTCAAAAGGCACAAAGAAATAGGAAATGAAAATACTGTCTGTAAAACAAAACATAGTAGCTATGCCGAAGTCCAAAACATATGGTATATAGCAGTACTACATACTAGCTATGGAAAAACGTGACGCATCTTTCCCTGGATTTGCACCTACAGGCACATTGACTGCTGTGTGGGCTGCAATAATGACAATTTCCTCTGGACTGTATTTAGAACTGAAGGGATGTTCTAGAGCACAGGCTTTCACATGCTGATGAATGTGAGAGTTATAAATGTCCTACTACAACAACAGCTACTGTAGCAAGCAGAATATCAGAGAAAACCCTGTGGCAGAAAATCCTACTACTGTAATCTTGGAGCAGTGTGCTTACTCATTATGTCACTCACAGTTTACTTACCTGTCTGAGTACATGTACAGCAGGGGTAGGCAACCCCGGTCTTGGAGAGCCGTAGGCACTTCATGTTTTTGATTTAATCGATCAGGAAGACCAGGTGTGTAGAATTTAGGCAATCACTGAACTGATCAATTAGCTCAGTTGGTCAGGTGTGGTGCCTAGTTGGAACAAAATCCTGCAGTACCTGCGGCACTCCAGGAACAGGGTTTCCTACCCCTGATGTATTTTAATTATCGTCATCCCCCTGAGTTATGTTTTTGAACTATTGTGTTGGCTTTGAATGAGTATATCTTTGAAAGAGTACCCATTTTTCAGCCTTTCACTATGTGATAATATGCAGAATCTACTGCACACCCAGAGCTGATTAGTGAAGGTGCTGGAGGCAAAAGGCAAAGCTGAAGAAAAACAGGAAAAGGTCTCTGCACACTTCCAGTCAGATGCAAATGTATTTAATTGTGGCTGAGCTTTCAGTCAGTCGACCTTTTATCAGAGCACTATGTAAAATACCAATGTTTATCCATATAGTAGTATAATCTAGGTATCTCACTGCCTCTCTTCCAGTGCAACGATGATGTTTGTACCAGATGAAGCCTGAACACGCCCTGGACTTGTGACATCTCAAGTGCACTTTGGGGAGGAGAGCTGCACCCCGACCACCAATCAAGAGGGGTAAATCTGGACTGTGAAGCAGGATGATTATGACCATTTAAATCTGCGTCAATGTTTTTATAATGCATACCCCAACTGGGTACAACCAAATCCGTTTTGATTCCTGATATAGTAGATTTCTAGATGTTTTCCAGCTTGTAAATCTGTGGATAATTCCAGCTTGACTGTGGATAATGTTATTAAATAGTATACATTTGCTTGTTTACTGGTGAGTCACTCCAGTTCCGTCACAGATCAGCTAACTTAAAGACTCACTGTATGCATGCTGATGTTGACTTAACACATGCCTTGGTACTGATTCCTATAAATAATCCTGAAATTTTTTCCTTAAATCAGATACCTCGCATAACATTTTGAACATTGAAGATTTTATTGAATAGTAATTGCTCAATTGTGTGACTTTCTACATTTAACTGAGTTTGAAATACTTTTTGTATGTATGTATTACATTTTAGTCATTTAGCAGACGCTCTTATCTAGAGCGACTTACAGGAGCAATTAGGGTTAAGTGCCTTGCTCAAGGGCACATCGACAGATTTTTCACCTAGTCGGCTCGGGGATTAGAACCAGCGACCCTTCGGTTACTGGCACAACGCTCTTAACCACTAAGCTACCTGCTGCCCCTGTATGTATGTATGTATGTATATGTTGTGTCCTATTAAACTAGCTGTTTTGTGGCTTACGGGATTGTAATTAAGATTCAGAATACAATGACTGCACCCTGGTGTTGTTGAGTGTTTTGCAGAGATCTGTGAACACTTTCCACTCTCGTGAAATACAAACATGGAGTTCAGTCATCTGATCTGGACAGAGCTGCCAGCTGTTGGTTATAAGACCTTACAGTAAGCATATAATTTTTTACATGGAGAGCTGAAGCTCACACAAACAAGCTATCAACTTCTCATGAATCAAATATTTGTACACCATCTGGAAGAAATAGCACCATTAGATTGACTTGGGTTTATCTAGGGAGAAATGTGTGTGTATATGTGTGTGGGGGAAAAAAGTATTTAGTCAGCCACCAATTGTGCAAGTTCTCCCACTTAAAAAGATGAGAGAGGCCTGTAATTTATCATCATAGGTACACGTCAACTATGACAGACAAAATTAGAAAAAAAATCCAGAAAATCACATTGTAGGATTTTTAATGAATTTATTTGCAAATTATGGTGGAAAATAAGTATTTGGTCAATAACAAAAGTTTCTCAATACTTTGTTATATACCCTTTGTTGGCAATGACACAGGTCAAACGTTTTCTGTAAGTCTTCACAAGGTTTTCACACACTGTTGCTGGCATTTTGGCCCATTCCTCCATGCAGATCTCCTCTAGAGCAGTGATGTTTTGGGGCTGTCGCTGGGCAACACAGACTTTCAACTCCCTCCAAAGATTTTCTATGGGGTTGAGATCTGGAGACTGCCTAGGCCACTCCAGGACCTTGAAATGCTTCTTACGAAGCCACTCCTTCGTTTCCCGGGCGGTGTGTTTGGGATCATTGTCATGCTGAAAGACCCAGACACGTTTCATCTTCAATGCCCTTGCTGATGGAAGGAGGTTTTCACTCAATCTCACGATACATGGCCCCATTCATTCTTTCCTTTACACGGATCAGTCGTCCTGGTCCCTTTGCAGAAAAACACCCCCAAAGCATGATGTTTCCACCCCCATGCTTCACAGTAGGTATGGTGTTCTTTGGATGCAACTCAGCATTCTTTGTCCTCCACACACGACGAGTTGAGTTTTTACTAAAAAGTTATATTTTGGTTTCATCTGACCATATGACATTCTCCCAATCCTCTTCTGGATCATCCAAATGCACTCTAGCAAACTTCAGACGGGCCTGGACATGTACTGGCTTAAGCAGGGGGACACGTCTGGCACTGCAGGATTTGAGTCCCTGGCGGCGTAGTGTGTTACTGATGGTAGGCTTTGTTACTTTGGTCCCAGCTCTCTGCAGGTCATTCACTAGGTCCCCCTGTGTGGTTCTGGGATTTTTGCTCACCGTTCTTGTGATCATTTTGACCCCACGGGGTGAGATCTTGCTTGGAGCCCCAGATCGAGGGAGATTATCAGTGGTCTTGTATGTCTTCCATTTCCTAATAATTGCTCCCACAGTTGATTTCTTCAAACCAAGCTGCTTACCTATTGCAGATTCAGTCTTCCCAGCCTGGTGCAGGTCTACAATTTTGTTTCTGGTGTCCTTTGACAGCTCTGGTCTTGGCCATAGTGGAGTTTGGAGTGTAACTGTTTGAGGTTGTGGACAGGTGTCTTTTATACTGATAACAAGTTCAAATAGGTGCCATTAATACAGGTAACGAGTGGAGGACAGAGGAGCCTCTTAAAGAAGAAGTTACTGGTCTGTGAGAGCCAGAAATCTTGCTTGTTTGTAGGTGACCAAATACTTATTTTCCAACATAATTTGCAAATAAATTCATTAAAAATCCTACAATGTGATTTTCTGGATATTTTTTCTCAATTTGTCTGTCATAGTTGATGTGTACCTATGATGAAGATTACAGGCCTCTCTCATCTTTTTAAGTGGGAGAACTTGCACAATTGGTGGCTGACTAAGTACTTTTTTTCCCCACTGTATATGGTAACAAAGTATTAAAATATCCAAACTGCATTCCACAATAAACTCAGGCCAAACACTTGTTATGCTTAGATAAAAGTTAATTTGATCAATTTACTTTATCTTCAATAAGTATAGCATTTGTTTTTACACCAAGATATACAGTAACATAATAAATTGCATATTACTAATCCAATGCAATATGCATTTTATCACAAAACAGCACAAATTCTGAACATTGTGATGTACACAAACATTTAACATAACATTTTGAGAAGTAAGAATTTAGCTCCATAGCTCTATATAATGATCATAAAACATTTAAAAAAGAGACTTGACACGTCTCAGGTAAACAATCAACTGATAGTGTTAATAGATTTTGAGTCACAAAAATAGCTGTTCATCTAGATAATTATATAGCAGCATGAGCTTTCACCTGTGAATATGGAGAAGCACACAGCACTGACAAGATATCCTATTGTTGCTTCGGAAATATATTTTATTTGTGTTCCATTTTGGTTTATAGATATATCACAAGCTAGTTATGCAAGAAAAGTGAAAATCCAATTCAGATAGCTGTAGTTTGGGTATTTATTTGATTCTAATGGTCTAAGGATTACTGGTGGGGGAATGTCCATCTATTATCGCAGGTTGAAGAGGCTATTGTGTGTGTGTGTGTGTGTGTGTGTGTGTGTGTGTGTGTGTGTGTGTGTGTGTGTCAAAATGTGTATGAAGTATGTACAATTCTCAAACTGATTTTGTGCAAATGTTATTGTTTAAATCTTATGTGCATGATGAAACCATTATAACAGTAGATCGTTTAAATGAAAGTTACTCTCTTTTAACTTTTTCCAGAGGACAACCAAACAACAAATACAAGGGTACATCCCAAAGTAGTGCACTATATAGGGAATAGGGTGCCATTTGATGAGATGTTACCCAAATTGCTTATAGCTTTATATTGTCACTGTTGGTTATTTTAATTCCTTGTCAACTATGGATAGTCTCTTTGATTGGCAACAAACTACTTCACCACTCACATCCCAAGTGAAACAGTCACCAGTAACAAAGCTATCGGAATCCACTGCACTGTACAACATCCAAGCCATTACGAGAAGTAAACAGGCAGAGTGAATAAATAAAGCTTCAAAGGCAAGATACATATATCATGAACATTCAATAAAACAGTCTCTGATGAGACATAACAGTCATGTTCAATTGACAAAGGCATCCTGAATTTTCTCAATGACTGTGTTTGCTTTCCCCAGTAGTGCTTCAAAACCCTCTTTGTTCCGCCACCATGGCAATCTGTTTGATCATTTTGTCAGGTTCTAAGTTGCTCTCTCCTGTTCTGCCCTTTAGTTCTGCTTGTTAATCAAGGTAGAAAATAACTGTCCTGGCCTTGACCGGCATTTCTCTCTAATGAGAAGCCATTTCCCCAGAGTGTCTGTCTGTCAGTCTGTCCAAGAGGCCCCTATAGCAGTTAGTTACCAGGCTCCCAACCATCCTCACAGTCCTCACACACGCACCACCAGCACACAGTCTTTCTCTGGGCCACTAATCAATGGCAGAGGTCAAGACGTACCCCTTCACCTGGACTTCACCTGCTTCTCTATTCACACCTACATTCCACCTCTATGTGGTTATGCCAATGACTATAGGGTTATGCCCCAAAGGTCGCATACCATAATCAAGTTCTAGCTTTTAGATTTTTTCTCAGAAGAGCATGTGTTCAATCATGGCAAGATACACAACAACGGGTAAGGATTTAGGAACAAAAAAATAAAATAAAAAATAGCATTTGGACAAATTGTGAACATGTGCTGCCTGTCCTGGAAACTGTTGTGGAACACCTCGTAGTAATCTCTGAAATGTTGGCATTTTAGACATCCAAACCAGAACATAAAAAATATGAGCCATAAAAGGCTCTGCTACACCTAGTATCCCTTTTTTTTTGGGGGGGGGGGGGGGGGGAATACAATATTTTATTTAATTTCTCTATTTCTTGCACACACAATATGGAAAGGGGTATCCGGATCCAAAAGTAAGATGTGTATTTGTCTCTATATTTTTTTTTAAACGGAGGAAGGATAAATGGAGGAAAGGGACAGGATTCATAAAACACAGCTCTGTTTAGGGCCCCATGTGTAGCTGAGGCATGGCTGCACATTCCTCATTATATTAAGTATCTGTTACTTTCAGCTGGCGATGCCAGGACTATAGGTAGGTGCTAACACAAATCACTAGCTAGTCCAAACCCATGACTGTATTACGGGATTCTGGGAACAGTTTTCTGTTCTGTTTTTTATTTTATGCAGTAAACACAAAGCATTGTATAAACTTAAAGACTTCTCTGTGCACATTTTTGAAAAGCACTCCTATAAATGTTTCTTTCTGATCATATCCTAGTCACAAATGCTGACTGGTGCTGTGTGGACAAAGCCCGAGATAAAGGAGCACTGTTAATCAAATGTTTGTCTCTGAAACATACTGTAACACAACACATACAGTAAGTCAAATCACTTTCAGTTTCAGTTGGGATCGAGTATTGAGTATCTATCATAAATAAGATACTGATCACTCCGTGGCAGATCATCATCACTATAAATGAATCTCAAACAAAACAGGGCTAGCCTAGCAAGTATTTAAGCTTATTTCCAAGCATATATCTTTGTAGATCTCACATTTATATATGCTATAGCAAAAACATTTTAAGCCATCCTTTTTTAGATTTTCAAAATGTTCATATAAGGTAAAGCTGCAAAGGTTTAACAGTCTGACGTCTTCGGGTAAATTGTTTCATTTAAAAGAGTGACGTAGCCAAGCCTTGGCCTGGGACTGAGACTAATTATGCTCTAGTTCACCGCTGCTCTTCATTTTCTCACAGAGCCTTTATTCATTTCATAGTCACACTGCAATGTCAGACTTGTTATTCATTTTTGCATCTTGCCCCGTGGCAAAATGTCTTAAAAAACAAATGTTCCATATTGGACAGGATAGTACAAGGCAACTCAGTGCCAAAAGATACTTGGTGCACATAGATGAAAGCCACTAAATATGTAGGCTTAAAAGCGCTGTGGATTTGCCATCTGAATGACTTGGCAAAAAGAACAGAGTTATTTAGGAAATTCTTTAAAAAGTCAGTTAAAGCATTTAAAGCCAGATTGGCTCAAACGTATTCTACAAGGTTTTAGGAATGTCCTACATTTGCCAACTATACATGTATCCACTGACCACCCACATTGGTCCATAGGAGCTTCAGATGTATGCATGTATACAACAAAACCACTCGTAAACAAGAACAAGCAAAACTGTTCACCCACAGACAACATCTTTAGGTTGAGTAGCCATATAAGTACATACTCTTTGCAAGTGTTTTTCCTGTCTCATCATAGTTTACGTCTGCTTCAAGTGGTGATACTAGGGTGTAGTTTGGTCAGTTATCCAGTCCATAACACTTGTGTAAATGTTATCTTCTGCCATGTAAATCTATCAGACATACTCCAAGGCAGGATGCCTCTTTGGCGTCAGTATAACACAAGGTGGTTATTAAGCATGTTTTTTTGTTCAGCTGCCCCAGTCAAGAAATAAATAACAAGAGTAGAGAAAAGCCGAAACTGGCTACCACACCCGACATTTCATCTCAGGGTTCATGGGTGTACCTGGTTTGCACTGGAATGCCTCTGAGAATGCTCCAAAATTCTGTAGGGAGCCAAGTACCCTGTGAGAGAAGATATGTAAAGAGTGTTAACAGATTGACAGAAAATACTGTATGTTGGAATAGCCAAACGCTACATTTTTACTGTTGGTCGTTACCTGTATTCCAGGGGACTGTGGGAGTCAGTCTTGATGCACTGGCTGGCATATTCAGGCCGATAGGCACCACACCATACCTGGAGGAGAAAGATGTATCACTAATTAAATAATTCATGTTTGATACAGTAAAAGCACATAGCACATTTCTTTTCTCAACTACATGTGTTCGTATTTTACCAGTGCTGTTATTTTTTGGCTGAATATACAGTAAAGGTAAACCATAAAATGATGATGAAATTGATATGCCAGAGATAAGTATTTTTTCCAAAGTGCTGTTCGACAGCCCAACTGAATAATTGTTTTGCTGTTATGCAAACATTGGCTTTTGACCTGGTTTTGGATAAAGACTGTAAAACACTAGTCTGGCTTTGCTCTTGCCTTGTTTTCCCCGGCTCCGCAATGGTCTTTAATTTGGCAAAAGATATTCTGTACCCCTAGGTAGGTCGCTTGATATAAAGTAATGATCTGGTGTCGTTTTTAACCCCTTGGTCCAATTGTTTATTTATTGAAAACCAAAGTATTTAGGAAAATATAATTTACATTTTAGCAGACACTCTTATCCAGAGCAACTTACAGTTAGTGAGTGCACACATTTTTTATTTTATTTTTTATACTGGCCCCCCATGGGAATCGAACCCACAACCCTGGCGTTGCAAACGCCATGCTCTACCAACTGAGCTACATCCCTGCCGGCCATTCCCTCCTCTACCCTGGACGAATTGCGCGCCGCCCCATGGGTCTCCCGGTCGCAGCCGGCTACGACAGAGCCTGGATTCAAACCAGGATCTCTAGTGGCACAGCTAGCACTGCGATGCAGTGCCTTAGACCACTGCGCCACTCGGGAGTCTCTTTGGGGTGTTTGTTCTCAGTGGTCTCCAGACCAGTGTTTCTTAGTGGTCTGTGGAGGAAGGACACTAATATAGCTTTTAGGTCCCTGGTACAATAAAAGTTGAGAAACAGTGGCCTACTTTAGACCAGGGTTTCCCAACCTCGGGTGCACGTTTTGGTTTTTGCCCTAGCACTACACAGCTGATTCAAATAACCATCTCAACATCATGCTTAGATTATTTGAATCGGCTGTGTAGTGCTAGGGGAACCCTGCTTTAGACTACTCAATTTATTAAAGGGGAGCTTACTCACTTGGGCAAAGTTAAGAAAAAATAGTTGTTTGTGGTCCATGTCCAGACCAGGTAAACGAAGCTCTTCTCCTTCTCTCTCCACCCACTTCATGTAGGCCTGACCACAAACACACAAAAAACATACAAATATAAAATATAACTAGATAGTATTTAGTCAGAGAAATGTTTTTGTTATGAAGTGGTTCATTGTGTTTTATGGGGATTGAACGCGTTTTGTCAGGGTGCCATGATTTGGTGTCACACCTTGTAAGCTTGCCGAACTCCTCCGTTGTCTGCAATGTTTTCCCCCAAAGTACTAATTCCACTGACCTGGGGTCACACAGAGACAGTCATTAAAGTCCTACTCCAGTCTCCTTTTCACCTCATTTAACACCTGATTTATGACATGGCAATTTTTTTTTACTCTTAACTGTGTGTACATTAGTGTTCTTATACTTGGGATATTGTTTTTCAATCGAAAAATATCCAAATTCACTGCAGGACGTATTTAACACACTCACAGCTAAATGGTAAACACTCAATCGAGGTTCTTTCAAAAAAATCTATCATCTTCTATAATCGTTTATAGTGAAACTAAAATGAGGTTTTAGTCATCATACCCAAATAATGTTTTTATTTTGCCCAAGCTTCTGCTACATTGGGAAACTCACATTTTGTCCGCCTGCAAGCTTCCAGTTGAAGTTGCCATATTGTTGCACCATGCACTGCGACTGTTCCTTAAAGTGCTCAGCAGAATAATTACTCCACCAGTTAAGCATGTTACCATCCTTGTCAAAATTACGGCCTGTTTTGAAAGATAAAATGTGGAATTAATTTTGACGCAATCTCATTTTCCCATGAATTAATACTCTATACTAAACATGATTGTGCAACACATTGGACACAGACATAGACAGTGACTGTAAATATGAGGACTGCCTCACCATTGTCATCAAACCCGTGGGTGATCTCATGTCCAATAACCATCCCTATTCCACCAAAGTTCAGGGCCTGGAGCTGCTGCTTACTGAAGAAAGGAGGCTGCAGGATACCGGCAGGGAATACTAGGAAAAAGGACAGAGAACAGATCAGACCAAATAAACAAAGAGCGTCTATAATCGTTGTGATGGAAAATTCTATGTTGGTGCTTTACTATTTACCAATTTCTGTGTTCTATGTTTGTGCTTTTCTAATAACCGTTTTCTGTGTTCATGCACGTGACTGATTGAACGAACCCTCACTATCAGTCTCAGCAATTTGGCAGTACGCCCAGAACCTTGTTTTGAGAACGAAAGATCTCAGTTTCAAGGTCTCAGCTTAGAGAAGAAGCCTCGTGAGGTATTGGTCTGTCACATGCATGACCCAGTATTGGTCAGTCACATGAATGAAGCAAACGTTAATTATGAATTAATTATGAATAAGCTAAATCATGCAAATATGACTTGTCTGCAGTATTTAAGAGAACTAACGGGACTGCCCCGTGAGAGCTCTTGACAGACGTTCACTATGGTACATCAAGGTTGTTGGAACCTCTCCAGCGCGCTGATTATTGATTCTGCCTGCGGAGGTTCCCAGTGGGGGTCTGCGAGGCAAACCGGTGGCGCATTCTATGAAGCGTGAGGGAAATTCTGACCAAAAGAGGACAAGACCCGCCCAGACCAGACCCTTACTGTGAGCTGCCCAGGACGAGACACATCATCCGCGAACAATTGAGGGACGGCAACTGATTTCAGTAAGTCAATTTAAATGAATCTGTATATACAGTACCAGTCAAAAGTTTGGACACACCAACTCATTCCAGGGTTTTTCTTTATTTTTACTATTTTCTACATTGTAGAATAATAGTGAAGACATCAAAACTATGAAATAACACATATGGAATCATGTCGTAACCAAGTGTTAAACAAATAAAAATATATTTTATATTTGAGATTCTTCAAATAGCCACCCTTTGCCTTGATGACAGCTTTGCACACTCTTGGCATTCTCTCAACCAGCTTCACCTGGCAGTCTTGAAGGAGTTCCCACATATGCGGAGCACTTGTTGGCTGCTTTTCCTTCACTCTGCCGTCCGACTCATCCCAAACCATCTCAATTGGGTTGAGGTCGGGGGATTGTGGAGGCCAGGTCATCTGATGCAGCACTCCATCACTCTCCTTCTTGGTAAAATAGCCCATACACAGCCTGGAGGTGTGTTGGGTCATTGTCCTGTTGAAAAACAAATGATAGTCCCACTAAGCCCAAACCAGATGGGATGGCTTATTGCTGCAGAATGCTGTGGCAGCCATGCTGGTTAAGTGTGCCTTGAATTCTAAATAAATCACCAGCAAAGCACCATAACACCTCCTCCTCCATGCTTTACGGTGGGAACCAAACATGCGGAGAGCATCCGTACACCCACACCGTGTTTCACAAAGCCACGGCAGTTGGAACCAAAAATCTCCAATTTGGACTCCAGACTAAAGGACACATTTCCACCGGTCTAATGTCCATTGCTCGTGTTTCTTGGCCCAAGCAAGTCTCTTCTTCTTATTGGTGTCCTTTAGTAGTGGTTTCTTTGCAGTAATTCGACCATGAAGACCTGATTCACACAGTCTCCTCTGAACAGTTGATGTTGAGATGTGTCTGTTACTTGAACTCTGTGAAGCATTTATTTGGGCTGCAATTTCTGAGGCTGGTAACTCTAATGAACTTATCCTCTGCAGCAGAGGTAACTCTGGGTCTTCCATTCCTGTGGTGGTCCTCATGAGAGCCAGTTTCATCATAGTGCTTGATGGTTTTTGCGACTGCACTTGAAGAAACTTTCAAAGTTCTTGAAATGTTCCGTATTGACTGACCTTCATGTCTTAAAGTAATGATGGACTGTTGTTTCTCTTTGCTTACTTGAGCTGTTCTTGCCATAATACGGACTTGGTATTTTACCAAATAGGGCTACCCCCCCCCCCCCCCCCGTTAATTGAAATGCACACCTGTTAATTGAAATGCATTCCAGGTGACTATCTCATGAAGCTGGTTGAGAGAATGCCAAGAGTGTGCAAAGCTGTCATCAAGGCAAAGGGTGGCTATTTGAAGAATCTCACATATAAAATATATTTTGATTTGTTTCAACACTTTTTTGGTTACTACATGATTCCATATGTGTTATTTCATAGTTTTGATGTCTTCACTATTATTCTACAATGTAAAAATAAAGAAAAACCCTTGAATGAGTAGGTGTGTCCAAACTTTTGACTGGTTGTGTATATATGTTTTAATGATACAAAATAAAATTTAAATTAACACATAAAAAGGTACCCATGGTCTTATAGAGAAGACTAGAGCGAAGGCGTAACGGTACCATGGAAGAGCCCCGCTGACAGCTGTCTGTAGGCATTCATAAGAAATGTCTACGTGGTCTGCAGCCACTACAAAGAACACAAGGTGTTTTTGAATATGTGGTGTTATTAAATATGTACAGGAGATACATATGGTGCATAGCAAGTAACGACAAGAGAATCGTTGAAGATGCACATGGGTAATATGGGAGATTACCGAGTGTGTTTGGGAATAGTACTAAGTGACTGTGGATGTGAAAGTTATGTGATTGTGAGATATGACATATTAAGCTGATAGAAATTTGGCTGTTATAATAAATGGATTGAAATTATTACTGTTATGATTGAAATATGGATAATAAGCTGATTGAAAATGGGATAATAAGAGATTGAAATATAGCTATAAATAACTGAGTGAATGAGAGCTGTCAGGGGACTAGCTCACGTGTGAAAGAGGTGAATGAATACCCCAAACAGTTCTGTGTGAGCTGAGTTTTTCGATCTGTTACGTTATCTAGGGTTCTGTCCACCACCGCCCGTTGGATCTACAGATAGAGGATAAAATGTCTCAGAAATCTCATTCGAGTAACATGTCTGAGGATAACGTCTCGATTAGTAACGAGGATAACATGATAACATGTCTCATTAGAGGATAACATGATTACACGTCTCATTAGCAATGAGGATAACATGTCTCTGAGGGTAACATGGCTTTAGATTACATGAGGATAACATGACTCATCAGTGGCGTTTGATGGTTTAACGTTATTATGTATGTGGAGATATGAAAGGAGAAAGTACTATTCCCGAATATGCTGTTAAATAGAACACTAGAGGGAATATTCAAACCCCTGTATGAATAGAACACTGGTGTAGAGGAGTAATTTGTGATGTAACACAAATGTATAATGGGTTACTAGAGATAAAGTAACATAATATTGAGTATAATGGGTTACTAGAGATCTGATGAAGTAACAATACAAATAATAATAATAATTTAACTTGCACACCCACACGTAGACGTACGTTAAGTGGTGTAAAAATAATTCTGAGAAATGTTCAGAGTGGTCCCTTTATGGATAATTTTATAAAGATAAGGTTAAAGCATTGTACAGGACTCGACTTACCCCTAACCAATAAAACTATAAATGCTTTTGAGATTTCCTCCACCAGGGTAATACATTTTGAAATAACACCCATATCCTGTTAAATAGATCCAATGATTTTCTGTATTCACCTACTCAACCGTTTAACTTGCTAGGTAGAGACTTATTATGGGCAGAGCACAATGCCATCTACAGGGGACTGATAGACAGTGCCAGCTCAGTTAATACATATTGATCCCTCCAAAGCATGACATGTTAATTATAAAAGTGTGACGCAGAAAATGAAAGTATCCAACAGAAATGTGAAATACTTTTGAGTCACGTTGTTAGTGTAGACTAAAATATGAAAACAATGCCTTCCAATATGGATAAAGTTATCATGTTTGTTTTGTTTTGTTTTAAACCTTGCAATAGGGGGAAAAGCAGAACGTTGTTTGAGAGTGATCTGTGTGTATTAGTAGTAGTAGATTGAGAAGGTCTTCCTATTGGGAAGAAGGGAGTCCTAGTTGAAGGAAACAGATATGGAGACTAGTAAAAGTAACAAAGTGAATGGTAAATAGCACTCCAATAATGTAATATCTTAGTAATTTGAAGAAGTAAGACAGAGGGATTGAGCATTGGGACTGATATTAAATTAGAGGCCGCTCACTCTTCAAGGCCTGGTCCATTGCTCTCAATTTAAGTCATCTGTTGTTTGGGTTAGAGATAAGCTTCCTGTGGAACAATAGATAGCCGCCAGTACAATCTGACCTCAAAACAGGCTGTGAGAGAGTGAGGAAATTTGGGACAGAGGTATGAATAATTGAATAAGACACGTTTTTCACAATGCATTTCTCAATTCTATAGTTTGGGTAGCACCAGTGATTTAAGTCAGAAGGTAATGTCATCTAAAACAATAATCTGTTTCCATTACGTGGAACTGTGTCCAGAATGAAGTAGATCCAAGTAAATGTTTTAGTACCGAATATTGAGCTGATAAGCCAGCACCAACTTTTTGAAGGTCCTAGCAGATTTGTTAAACAACAGGTTTCATATTTTGACTAGTTTTATGTCCCAGGGACAGTTTGTACAGAACTGTATGTCAATGCAACAGGTCAAAATTACAATGATTACAAGAGAGGGGCTCTGGGATTGTTTACTTTAGAAGGTGCCTATTCAGCTTGACGGGACACTATCATCTGATGTCTCTGAAGTATAATTCTGTATACGACTGATGGAATGTCCGCTACCAAGTTTTCTTTACATGTTTATCAATGATTCTGTATCTCTCCCTTTGAAAGGCTTCCAAAGGCAAGTGCCTTGGGAGAGCAGTTAAAGGTACCTGGATCCAGCTGTTAAGGGAGCTCCCAAATTAAATAAGGCCTGGCCATTTTGTTTGTTTTTACCCTACAATTTTTGCCACACACACGCCAGCACCCACAACCATTTACCATTACCTTATGGGATACAATTATTTCCTTATGGAGTTATCAAGAGTTGTAATTCTAATTTCATTTGTTATTTTAATTCGTTTATTTTTTATTTAACAGGCAATGTTGTTGTTTTTTTGGACGCATGAATCACGATGTGAGTCATGTGTCCAAAGGGGGAATTACCGGTCCCCTTGGCCTTTGGTAAATAT